GATGTCCATCCGTAGGGCAGCGTGAGCAGGTACCATGGTGACGCCACAGGCAAGTACCTCTCTGGCTATGCTGCCTGCGCACGGGTACCTTCTGACACTGGCGTCAAACCTTGCTCACCTTCACCTGTCGAGCCCGGGATTCTGTTCCCTCGAGATCCTGCTGCCTCAGCTTCACCAGATTGCTTCAACAGATTCACCTTCAAAATGATCAATGACTTCTCCAAGAGATATGCGGACTTGAGATGTTTCGAACCATATGCATGCCAATCGTCATCATTGAAAGGACGGGATGCGATGCCGGCCAGTCTATGAGTTGGGCTTGGGACGACTTCCATTCGGACTAGGAAGTAACAAGTCCAATCTCACTGTACAGCAAAAGCCGCCGCAGATTGATTGAACGTAGAGCCGGGCCAAGAGCCAGGCCAAGAAACCATGGAGCTGAGCTTAGAATATGCTATTGTAGAGATACCCACCTAGGCCGAAAGAAGATAAACTACCTCAAAGACTCAAGTGAGGACGGCGTGATAAAGCCGACATATGTGTGACTGATTGTTATTCCCGAACAGCGAAAGGTCTTCGGGAAGTTGGAACGTTTCCACTTTGTGTGCTTTGCTTCTCTCATCCCGTCGTACGCGTCCATGGCCTCGTACCTCTCATTCGTCCTTGGCTTTTTGTGGCCGGTCGGACTCGTGGAAGGTCGGAAAAAGATGAGATGGAACGGCGCACCAAGCATCATCATCGCACACTGTGATCACTGTATACTGTCGTGTACAGAGCTTCACACAGAGTTTGGAGAAACATGAACCCCCGGCCAGGCCAACCTCCCAAATCCCATGGAGAAACATGGGAATGAGTGGTCCTTGTCTGATATCACCATCCTTGGGGAACAGCCGATCGCTGGTGTGTTGCTTGAGGGATAAGTAAACTAGAGGCGACTAGAGCAAGAAACAAAACAGGTCCAACAGGTTCAATGTGCTCATCAGAGTCGCATCTACATCAACGATTTGCCTTGATCGGCAGCCCGTCTCGTTGTCTGACACGTCCCAAGCTTGCTAGTTTGGGCTCCATCCGTCCACGCAATTAAAGTGGTCCGGGGGTTCGTCATCCTGCGGAGGCTCAGCTCTGTTTTCTTTTGCTCTTCCTTCTCACAAGTTCACAAGTGCGGGAGAGAGAGAATTACGGCAGCACAAAAGTGGCCTAGTGTGTTTTTGTAACACTTTGCACTGCAGCACTTGGCACCGGATTATTCAATGCCCACGTCCCGAATTCTTCTTTTTGCCATACCTAGGTCTATTCTGTACCTTACTGCGCATTTACGAATACCGCCAGCCCAGCATCATCCACATTTCGACGGCCCCCTGTACGGATATTCGTAGTCAGCTCAGCCCCACGGGACGTGCTTGGTAACAACCGGCTATCGAGTTCGAGCTAGGCTGGCTGGCTGGGCTGGGTGAGGTGGTATTAATGATGGTGGCTGGTCATCTTTTCGGGCTTCGCCAGATCGCCCACTTAGAAGTTGAGACCCGCTTCCCATTCCCCCCAATTCCCACTAGCACCAGCCGATGAGGCGGAATGGAACCCTCTTTTTCTGTGTGTGTGTCTCTCCCAGCTAATTTTAGAAACATCCTCCCGTCTCTTGTCTTCTTCCCTCCCACAATTCGTCCAACACCGCCCAACTGCCAACCAAACGGGCCACCAACGCCCGGGTCCAACAACCACATTCCGGTCGTCGGCGCCGAATCACGCATCGCGAGGCTCAGTTCCAATACGGGGCCCTCCCGAGGGCCTTGTGGCTCCATGCTCTCTCAATTTTTTAAGGTTGCCGAGCTTTTTCTCGAACAGCCTATTGAATCCATCGTCATTGGCTGGTCACGACCTCTCGACCCGTGACGAAGCCATCACCGCCACCATTGTCCAGCGCAAACTCCAGGAACAGGGCCCGAACCCATAGATTAGCTCCCGTGCCGTCCTCGCCTACCTCGGCGAGAAAGCAAAGAAACATGAATCCACTCGACCACCTTATCAATATACACTATCAACCTCTGATGCATGCTGCGCGGCGGTGACATCTAGCCTGCATCCTAAAGAGGGGCCGCCGTTGATGGCTCTTGAACAAAACCCAATTCCCTGGCCCCGCCAGCGATGTCGAGTCTCTTTACCAGTTGTGGGCTCGCAGCACCTCTCAGCCTTTTGCTGATTTGACAGCTCCCGCAAAGTACGCAGTACGTACGACTCGACCGCGAACACCATCGTGGCTCGGCTACACCAAGCTCTACCTTTGCATCTCGGCGTGGAGCTTCTGCTCGCTAGAGGCTAGAGCTCGAATTTTGGCTCATGGGGCTTGTGGAGAGACGAACTCTGGCCGCTGCAGCTTTGCGTTGGTTCGTCGCATTATCTGAATCTCGTCATCGTTGTTACTGCACTGCTGCACTTGGCAAAGAGATATGCCCAACAGACCCATTCCTGCCCCATGTCGTGTAAGTTGTTCTTTTCTGCCATGCTTCTTTGGTGTTTTGTTTGCTTCCTTATTTGGCAGTACTTGGACTATTATTCGCATCTCAGGCCTTGGCTGCAACGCTGCCCGTCGAGGAGCTAATACCCAGATGCCCATTGCCATGCTGCACCGCGTACGGAGTACATCCCGGGAAACAGAAGTGCGATCAAACCTCGAATTTTTCTCCGTCCCCCACTCACCTCACGCCGCGACTGCAAGAGCCTCGAACGACGTTTTCGAAAAAGTTCAACTCGAGTCGAGATCCGTTTCAGCGGCGAGAGCGAGATTTCGAGAGACCCTGAATCCCAGGCGGGGACAAGTCTGGCAGGGGAGGGGCCTGCAATAGCGGTCCCCCAGATATAGGACCACCAACCACGCAACCTTCTTTTGGCCGACTTCCGAGTCCATCCTGATAAATAAGACAGCCACCGAGAATCAGAGCTGGTTTGACGGTTCGGGGGTCCATGTCCGGCGGGGCCAGACACCAATGCCCCTCCCTCCCGAAGGCGGCGATGCCGGCTTGACGCGTGGTGCACGGCGGCGGCATTACAAGACATCTCACCATCCGCATGAACTCGCTCTCGCGCGGCCGGCTTGGTGGCGTATTCATACCTCGGAATGCCGACTTGGACGAACCCTACCGACTGACCGAGTTTTGCGCGCGGTTATGCCCACCTGCGGTTCGGTGAGGACTCGTGTGTCTCTGCGTCTTCGGAGGGTCAAGAAGTCACCTGGTATTTCAATTTATCCCGTCTGGCTGCATGTGTGCGCTCTGGAAACGATACTCCCGATTTCGTGAATCACACTACGTTCCTCAAACTTCTATGAGACCTACGGCGCCAACCTGCAGCTGCATAACCTATCATGGGCCACACACACAACGCGGCTTGCCGTCTCAGCTGCCTTTCCCAGATTCCTGTTTGCTGGATTTTCTGGCAACGTGGGAGCCAGAAAACCGCTTCCCCCCGCCATTTTTTGAGGCCCTCCTCAACCACCTTGGTCGCACGGCAGCCAGGTGCAGCACGTGCTCGCATGGACGCGGGGACAACGCACCGAAGGAATGTATCACACCTATTTTCTAGAATGGAATCTCAGCGTCGGGATCCTCATTTCATCCAACCTTTTCTCGATTCGCTCGTCCTTGTCCTTTTGGGCCGTTGGTCGTGTGGGGAGGAGGATGATCAGTCAGTGTCTATTACACCGCTGCACTGGAGCCGGAAGATCGGAGGTTTGAGAGACAGTTATTACTTTCCTGGATTCGAGAGCGACTGCAAGTGGTGATGCGACTCATCAAACAGACATGCACGCGGGCGTGTGGATGAATGTGAACCATCAACGAATCCTCGGCTCATGATCAAACGCAGAAACGATGTTTGAAAGCACTCGAACCGTTGAAAGGTAAAAATGGTACCATGCGGAGCACAAGTATTGACAATGTGACCCAAAAGGCTACCTAGGTAATGATCGCACGATGGTCACTTCTCAACATCTTCCCGTGACTTCCACCCCCTTCACACGTATCTTCCCCTTCGGCTTTCCTCCCCTCTCCTCCCCTCCCCTCTCGTCTCATCTCATCTTTGTCTTGTTCCTTCCTCCCTCCCCTCTCCGCCGGACTGCCACACCCAAACTCGAACGCGCATACGTATAGCTGGGAAGTACCTAGCATTTGCTCTAAAGACGATAATGCAACACCAGAAAGTGAACACGCGTCGGATACCAGCAGCGCAAGAGAAGCGGGTAGTTTTACACGGAGTAATTGGTAGCAGAAAAGGCCTGCTAAGATACGTTGACACGTTGGACAGGAACCACTCAAGTGTCGTCACTGGGGAAAGGCGGTCGAAATCTGACCGAGCGGGAGCGGGACGGTGGAGGAGAGGGGAGGGGGAGAATGGGTGGCAAGAAACAAGAGGTAAGTATCCGTAGCTTCTCCTCATTCCTCCAGTCCAGTAGGAGAGAATATAAGCCGTTGTTGGTGCCATGATGATAGTGGTGGTGGTGGTGGTGCGGCGGAGGAGGTCCAGGCCCCCGGGCTATCTGCTGGCGGAGAACTTATTCCTCCTTGGGTGATGGTCTCATTGGCACCAAACCTTGTCCCTTTTTCTCCTCTTGCGAGCAGGACGAGCTGCAGCAGTCACCACTGCGCTTGCACGTTGGAATGGGTCATGGATAGATAGATGGTGATCCAATTCTGGGGCCTGACCACTCGGCTTGTCTTGCGCTGAGCCTCAACGCACTGTGGTCTGACTGGCTGCCAAGCTTGAAATGGGGAATAACGAGCAGCAATAAAGAGAGAGCAATGAGGGGCTCTACTCTGTACAAGGTAGGCATACCTAGGTGCCGATAGAGTGACTGCATCGTGCACAAAGTCAATGTGTGTAAATGTGGTGCGATTTCTCCTCTTCATTCTGTGCAGTGTAGGATGAAACTTGGCTCCAGTCTTGGGAATACCCCTTCTGCGTGAACGTGTGCTTACTGATCTGTCTGCCAACTTGAATGTATTCTTGCCATGTACCTAATGAAGTGTCGTGCCGGGACTCTCTCTTTTCTTCGTCTCAACCTTTTCTCTGCAACATCGACACAGGGGTTGGAGCTCGAAAAAAGGATCAATTACCCAAGCGCTTTTACACTTTGTGTGTGGCTACGGATACTTTCATCCCAGCATAAATCATCTGGCTCATCTGGCTCATCTGGCTGGGCCATGTTGGATTTTTCAACTCAATTCCGCCTGCAGAAGGCAAACCAAGGTCCGGTTTCCATCTCTCGTGAGGGTCAATCAAGGTTATCAGAGATAAGCACCCAACACACCACACCTATTGCCCAATATGTCCCACACATTTGCCCTCCTCCCTTGTCTACCCTAGATCAATTCCATTGCCCAAAAGCAGGGCAGCATAAGGGAAGCTGAACAAGCGTGACAAGGGCAGAGCAAGGTAACAGATATATTTACGAGCTGTGCAGCAGAGAGTGTCACAGACAAGCTGAAGGTCAGGCCAGCCCAGCCCAGTTTAGCCCGTGGGTTTCAGACACCAACGACAGGGAAAATAGTACAAGAAAAAAAAAAAGGGTGACCCAACTCCATCTCTGGATCCTTGGCAGCGCACCATAGCACCACAGCACCCGGCCACTACCCAAGAACTTGGGACCTTGATCTTGGGACTCTTGGGTGCCACTGGTGCTTGGGGGCAACGAGCGACCAGGCACACAGCTGGAATTCCTGGAACTCGGTTGAACCGGGGACTGGACTGGACTTGGACTGGACTCGTCCTCTTTTTGAGTAGAGTCTGATGGATGGTACTAACTTTCTCACCACCACCCACCTCACCTAACCGGGCTCACTTCAGTTCACCATTCAAACCACCTTCACGCCACACACAAACAAGTACATCAAAGTCCATCTTCCCAGAACACCAGACCACTTACCCCTTCTTGCACAATACACCGGCTGCTGTCCCGACAACTTTGTGCATTGCGTGCGCCTCGAACAACCTTGGCCCACCCAGTAGTTGCCAATTGCTCTGTACGGATATCCTTCCAAGGTTCTCCAATTTATCTGTCCACCTGTCTTACCTGAGCAACAACAACACGCGCACGCTGCTGCACGTACACAAAGGAACCCCCCTCGCCATCTTTGCCGCTGCCAACTGCTGTTCTTCCGCCTCTTTCTATCTTCCATTGCCAATTAATTACTCAACCTTACCGACCACCCACCACTGCTGTTCTACCTTGCTCGTGCAGACTACCACTACTAGAATACTACTACTACCACTACCACTTTACGACTTTACCACCACCGCTTGGTACACACATCAACTTGCTGGCTACATCCGTCATAGCCCCCCCGCATTCCATTGAGCCTGCGACTACTTTAGCACACCTCAGGTATCTGTAGCCTTTCCACAGAAGGTGCCTCTTAGTCCCTCTGTCCATCGAGGTACAGAGCCCAATTCTAATACCCACCCGCTCTGCCCCCATGCCTGTCGCCTAAGGTAAAGCAATCCCGCCCGTCCTGCATTCATCCGTCCCTCCTTGTACCTTCTCCTCCCGTACATACTCACCAACAACACCTCGGATTCTTTCGCCTTATCTCCAGACTCCAGCCCACACGATCTGAACAAGGCTGACCAAAAACCCCTCCCACGCAGTCGTCGACAAATGCCTCCATAGCTCCAATCCATCCGCGCCTGCCGACTTCATTCGAGTCTTCTTGTCGTTTCTTTGACCCGACATAACCGCCGCCCGCGAGCCACGTATACGTCACTCGCCGCCCGTTTCCTCGCTTACATACGACCCTCCTCCTCTTCTTCCTCCTGCCCATCTCCAGCGATCGATCAAAGGCAATCGCCTTAACGCGCCCAAAACGGACAACTCAAGTGGACGCCGCTCTCCCTCCCGCATCCGCTTCCTGTCCATCCTCGATCGTCTATTCCATCCTCCCTAGGACCCCCTACTGCGACACAACATTACATTTTCCCATCTCGAGTCCCTGCCAGATTCGGGCTGTTGCGGCGAGACGTGTAGGCCAGCCATACATCAGACGAAGACGAGGCCAGCCCACGCGCACAACCCGACATACGACACCTACAACAATAGTTGTCGTTGTTCCTTCTGCATCGGCATAAGAGCTACATCATGGGAAACCAACCATCCAAGGAGGGTGGCCACGCTTCCACCAAAGGCCCTGGTGGCGACGGCACCGCTGAACCTCTCAAGTCCTACCCTTCCTTTGGCAGATCCGACACCAAGGACTCTTCCCGCTCCTTCAAGGCCCTGAGGTCCAAGATCCCCGGCTCGAGCAAGACGGACAGCCCAAGGAACTCAGTCATCACCTCCCCTACCGAAGAAAAATCCGACGCTGCTTCGGTCAAATCGGGGAAAAGCGCAAAGTCCGGTGTCCCCCGAAGCCGCAATGACTCCGCCACGTCGCCGACGTCCCCCTCGACTGACATTGAATCCCCGCTCGATGACTCTCAGCCGCCGCCATCCCCGACCCAGTCCAGTACGATCAAGAGCGGTGTTCACGACGTGAGCGCAGCGCAAGCATCAGGAGAGGTCGACCACGTCTCCGACCAACCCCCTTGTGCCGGAGGCAGTCTCAATACCCACATGCAGCAGCCGGGCAAGTCCATCCTGGCCACCAAGAACGCAGATGGCGCTGCAACCCCGGTCGCCAAAACCTCGTCGACAAACTCGGGGGATAGACATGAGGGAGGTGTTGCCATGAGCGAGATCAAGGACATCGACCTCGACGACTTCATCAAGCGTCTTCTGGACGCGGGCTACGCTGGAAAGGTCACAAAGAGCGTGTGCTTGAAGAACGCCGAAATTGTCGCAATCTGCCAACGGGCTCGCGAAGTGTTCCTCTCCCAACCCGCTCTTCTGGAGCTTGACGCCCCGGTCAAGATTGTCGGTGACGTACACGGCCAATACACGGACCTGCTTCGCATGTTCGAGATGTGTGGCTTCCCGCCCTCATCCAACTACCTCTGCCTGGGCGACTACGTCGACCGTGGCAAGCAGTCTCTCGAGACGATCCTGCTGCTTCTGTGCTACAAGCTCAAGTTCCCCGAAAATTTCTTCTTGCTGAGAGGAAACCATGAGTGCGCCAATGTTACGAGAGTATACGGTTTTTACGACGAGTGCAAGCGCCGCTGCAATGTCAAGATCTGGAAGACCTTCATTGACTGCTTCAACACCCTCCCGATTGCTGCCATCGTCGCTGGCAAAATTTTCTGTGTGCACGGAGGTCTCTCCCCCGCCCTCAGCCACATGGACGACATTCGCAACATTGCTCGACCTACCGATGTTCCCGACTACGGCCTGCTGAACGACCTGTTGTGGTCTGATCCGGCTGACATGGAGCAAGACTGGGAGGCCAACGAGAGAGGCGTGAGCTATTGTTTCGGCAAAAGAGTGATATTGGATTTCCTTGCGACCCACGACTTTGACTTGATTTGTCGAGCGCACATGGTGGTTGAGGACGGCTACGAGTTCTTCAACGATAGAGTCCTTGTAACGGTCTTCAGCGCCCCCAACGTAAGTCTCTACCAATTGTTCTGGACGAGCTCTGCTAACATGTGGTCATAGTACTGTGGCGAGTTCGACAACTGGGGTGCGGTCATGTCCGTTTCGAATGAATTGCTTTGCAGCTTCGAGCTGCTTAAGCCGCTAGACTCGAGTGCGCTGAAGAGCCACATTAAGAAGGGCAGGAACAAGAGACAGAGCATGCTCAACAGTCCGGTGAGTAGACATGAGAGAAACTTGGAACGCAAAGACTACGCAGTCACTAACATTGGCGCAGCCTGCACATGTCGAGCCGCGAAGCGTTTGATGAGGAGGTACGCCGGGGAGACGTGGGACAGCAGAGAATCTCCATTCATTGATGGATTATTATGAGTTACAATCAGTCGGGCAACCGGGCAGAACATTTCAGATCAGAACACAACAGGCGAAGCATGCGGTTCCGGCGGCATCACCAATACCCTCGGCAGGTGGAATTCCCCGAAGGACATGAGCGCCTACTCGAGACCGGTCATAACACGGACGATGCCTGCGAAAGGCGTAATAGCCGAGTCGAGTGATGGCCAGGTTGGGATACTTGGCAGGGTCAAACTCTAGCAGGTGGCCGTTCGTTATTCGATCTCTAGACACGGCTCGGGCAAGAGCAGGAAGCAGCTGGGAATCTTGCGGGTTTCCTCGATACGATAGGACGAGAGGGCATGCATCGGTTGCGGCCCTTGGGAACTGGTGGATGATGGTTGATGAGAGCTCTCGATTGCCAGCCTGTTTCGGACAGTTGCACCGCGAGCTAGAGATACAGCGTACATCCAGTCCATTTCCGAATGTTCATCGATGAAGGCATCGACTAGCGGGGTCTATCATGGTTATACAGTAAGGTAGTAAGGGTGTGGGAACCAGGATTCGATTTTGTATGCTTGGTCCTTTGATTGCTTGATGAATTCTTGCCGTGACAATCTTCTTCCAATAATGTAACGAACTATTGATGTATGCAGTATGAATAAATGAGCTTCAGCTGAACAGCGTGCGGCGAGCTGACGTTGAATGCAAGGCATCTGAGTGTAACGGAGTGCCGCGCTTGCATCGCGCGAACTGTGCCCCTCCATGAGGTTGCCCCACTTAACGTTCTGAGCTCAGCCTGTGACATCAACTTTTTCCCTTCAAGCCGTAACCTCGAGAAGGACGAACTGCAATACAGACGAACATTCTCCATTGCCAATTGCTCAGCGGAGCGATTTGAATCAGTCAGAAGCGAATCTCGCATACTGAATTGACCCTCCCGCCTCCTACTGTGGCTAGTTACGACTTCTCCAGCTCAAGTCGAAAGCGGAAAAGTAGGTAGAAAAATCTACCTCAACTGCCCTTTTTCATCCTCTCTCTCACACTCTCTTTCTCTCACAACCTCAGTAGGGACTTCTTGACCTTTAACTGACCCACACCTTCTCCTTCCCAGCCACATCCTTGGCTCGTCCTCTATCTGACTTTCTCTTTCAGGAAGAGCCAATTCGACGCCTTCTCCATCTGTATAGCACCCAAGGAAAAGAAACTTGAGGGGCAAAAATGGAGAACCAAGCGCCCCAGATCGACGAGTCTGAGCAACGCGCAGCGAAGCGTCTTAAGGTGGACGATTCCACGCCGCAGCAGACTGAGCAGGTTGCGAAGCCTGCTGAGGCTCAGGCTGCTGAGGAACGCGTTGCTGTCGATGAGGCTACGAAGCGCGTGGAGCCTGTCCCTGCCACTGGCAACGGTGAGAAGGCTGATGTCCCGATGAGCGAGGCACCTGCTGTCGAAAAGCCGGACGAGGGGGAGTCTGCAAAGCCGAAGCAAGATGCCAGAGACGTGAGAAAGGGCCAGGCGCCAATCAAGGCTGAGTGGGTATCCCTCAGAATG